CTAGCTCTTCTCTCCCTAGGATGTAACTTAAGACTATGAGTTCCTTGAGAGCAGACACTGTCTTTTGTCTTTCTTTGTATCCCCCTGGCTTAGCACCATGCCTGACACATAGTAGGTGCTAAATAAATGCTTATTGATAATTTCAGGGCTTCAGTTTCCTCATCTGTAAAATGAGAGGTCTGCCCTAGATGACTTCTGAGGTCCCTCGGTTCTAGATCAATCATCTTATGATTGGATATGTAAAATGAGGGGGCTGGACCCAATGTCCACTGGCCAGGATGTCATAGAACAAACCCTAGATTGGGAGTCAGAACAGATGGATCTGTCTGGCTTATCATTGTTATGCACTGGAAAGAATATTGGACCTAGAGTCAGGAGCCCTAGGTTAGATTGCAGCTAACAACAGATGACTCTGGACAAGTCACTGACCCTCAGACTCCTATCCTAGAAAATGGGGATAACAATACCTGTATGACCAACCTCAAATGGGGCTGTGTTGAGGAAAGCTTTTTGAAATGCTGAAAGGGCTCCAGAAATGTGAGTTGCTATCATCTTTATGACCATCATTATTATGACATAGAATTAGTATTACTGTTATTATTATAGAAGGAGATGGCTTTAGTAAACAGGTGGGCCAGTCCTGGAGTTAAGAAGACAGGTTCAAGTCCTATCTCTGTTATGTATTAGCTGGGTAACCCTGGGCAAATTATTAAATCTCTCAGTGCCCCCAGATAGCATAATAACAATAATAACATTTCTATAAAGCACTTTACAAATATCTTATTTTATCTTTACAATAACCCTTGGAGGTAAATGGAAGTCAAATGACTTGCCCAAGGAAACACAATGAGTAAGTGTCTGAGGCCATATTTGAGCTCGGGTCTTCCTGATTCTAGATCTAGCAACTTATCTACCTACCTGCAGTCATAGTTATCATGACGTAGAATCCTCATCTCCCAGACCTGTTCTTTGATGTCAGGGACTCCCAGTGAGGAAACACCCTATACCCTCATCCTTATCATTCCTTTCAATCATCTTTATCAATGTCATCATGATTTCTTTTTACTATTGTCTTAAGACAACAGGATCACAGATTTTTAAAGGAATCTTAAAGATTCCTTCCTACCTCAACCCCTTGATGTTATAGAGGGAAAAACGTGAGGCTCAGGAGAGAGAGGGACTTCACCCCAGGGTTGCAGAGCAAAGAAGGAGGTAAAGCTGAGTCTGGAACCCAAATGTCTCATCCCTCAGCCCATAGCTCTTTCTATCACGCTATGTTGTCTCCTCTTTTTAAGTCTATGTGTGTCTTTCTTGCCATCATATGTGGTTATCCTGTGTGTATGCCATTTTACTGGACTATAAGCCCTTCCAAGGCAAAGGAATGTGTGGATAACTTTTTTAAAAAAAATTAATTGTATTTTTGAATGAACAAAAATTTATATTCTCTCCTTCCTATTTTTCCATACCCATGAAAAAAAGAAAAACAAAACTCTCACAATAAATATCAAGCAAAACTAATTTCTGAATTAACCAAGTCAAAAACTATGTTCCAGTCTGCACTCTGAGTCCGTCACGTCTCTGTCAGGAGATTGGTAGCATAACCCAACATGGCTCCTCTAGAATTGTGGTTATTCACTGCATCGTTCAGAGTTCTAAAGCCATTCAGAGTTGTTTCTCTTTACAATGGTGTTACTATTATGTAAATTATTCTCCTAGTTCTGATCTCTTCACTTTCTACATCAGTTCATATAAGTCTTCTTAGATTTCTCTGACACCATTCCCTTTATCATTTCTTATGGTACAATAGTATCCCATTACATTTACATACCATAATTCGTTCAACTATCCCCCAGTTGATAGGCACCATCTAACTTTCAAGTCTTTTGCCAATAAAAATAATTGTCCTTTTCTTCTTTCTTTGATCTCTTTGTGGTTAAATCCTACCTGTGCTTATGGTGCCTAGCACTAGTGTTGAGTACACAGTCAGTATTTGTTTAGAATCATACAACCTCAGAGCTCTAATGGACCTCATTGGCCACAGTCCAACATATATCCCCTCCCCAGCATATCCAACAAAGGCATAGCAAACCCCTAATGACAACAAGAAAACTACCACCTCACCAAGGCAGCTTTCCTCTTTTGTATAGATCCGATCACCAGGAGGGACAGCTAGCTGGCACCATAGTACGAGGAGCACCAGGCCTGGAATCAGGAAGACTCATCTTCCTGAGTTGAAATCTGACATCAGACACTTACTGGCTGTGTGACCTTGGGCAAATCACTTCACCCTGTTTGCCTCAGTTTCCTCATCTGTAAAATGAGCTGGAAAAGGAAATGACAAACCACTCCAGTATCTCTGCCAAGAAAACCCCAAATGGGGTCACGAAGGGTCAGGTGCGACTGAAATGACTGAACAACAGCAATCATCAGCAAGTTTTTCATTATATAAGAACTAGATTTGCCTCTCTTCAACGTTAAGTCATTAGCCTGCCCTCTGGGAATAAGCAGGTCAAGTCTAACCTCTTTTCAATGTGACAGCTCTTCAAATACCTGAAGACAGTTATGGTCTACTCACTAATTCCTTTCTTTCCAAGGCTAAATATCCCCAGGTCTTTCATTTGATCCAAATACAGTATGATCTTGTAGCCCTTCACCAACCTGGCTGCCCTTCTCTGAATGATCTCCAGATTATCAGTGGACATCCAGGATACTATGTTTCATGGCTCTTGCATAGACGGATGGATGGATGGATGCACGGATGGATGGATGGATGGGTGGATGGGTGGATGGATGGGTAGATAGATTAACGGATGGATAGATGGATGATACTAAGGCTTCCTTACCTCAATTGTATCCCGGGGCTGGACAAAATACTTGAGATATTGTTTGACTAGGGCAGATAATGGCACCATTACCACCTATCTGTTCCTTTATACTGTGTTTCATGGTTCTTGCATAGATGGATAGGTGGTTGAAAGGATGGATGGATGCATGGATGGATGGATGGATGGATGCATGGATGGATGGATGGATGGATGGATGGATGGATGGATGGATGGATGGGTGGATGGATGGATGGATGCATGGATGGATGGATGGATGGATGCATGGATGGATGGATGGATGGATGGATGGATGGATGGATGGATGGATGGATGGATGGATGGATGGATGGATGGATGGATGGATGGATGGGTGGATGGATGGATGGATGGATGGATGGATGGATGGATGGATGGATGGATGGATGGATGGATGGATGGATGGATGGATGGATGGGTGGATGGATGGATGGATGCATGGATGGATGGATGCATGGATGGATGGATGCATGGATGGATGGATGGATGGATGGGTGGATGGATGGATGCATGGATGGATGGATGGATGGATGGATGGATGGATGGATGGATGGATGCATGGGTGGATGGATGGATGGATGCATGGATGGATGGATGCATGGATGGATGGATGCATGGATGGATGGATGGATGGATGGGTGGATGGATGGATGGGTGGATGGGTGGATGGGTGGATGGATGGAGGGGTGGATGGGTGGATGGATGGATAGATAGATTAATGGATGGATAGATAGATGATACTAAGGCTTCCTTACCTCAATTGTATCCTGGGACTGGACAAAATACTTGAGATATGGTTTGACTAGGGCAGGTAATGGCACCATTACCACCTATCTATTCCTTTATACTATGTTTCATGGTTGATGATGGAATGTAAACATCCTGAGAACAGGGACTGTTTCTTGTTTTGCATTTCTAGCTTTATATCTCAGCACCTGTACTTGGCACAGCAGAGGCTCTTAATGAATGCTTGTTTCCTGACATATAGCAAGTGCTTAGTAGATGATTAATTTGTTAGTTGATTGAGCACACACTTACCTCTCACCAAGACACAAGGCTGGCTTGGGCCCAGTAGGCCAGGCCTGATCCATGGGATGCCAAGCCTTCCTGGACTCATTACAAAGCTCATGTCTCTTAAACAGAGTTTTTCTGCCTTTCCCAGGCAACCATGGGAGCCTGTGAGGTGCCAGTTTGAGGCACCCAGACTCTTTACAAGGCCTCAATGCTCTGCTATGACCAGTAACTCACACAAAGAGCAGTCCAATCCTTTCCATACTCCTTCCCCCTCCCTACCACCATTCCATCCCCAGAAGCTGTCAAAGGTAAGACCATCCTCAATGACATAGGAGAGACTTCAGCAGTGGCCTGTGAAATATTATGGCCAATTGGTAAGAGACTTGTTGGGAAACCAACTTGGCCAGTGTCTAGAACACTGGCTGATATTCTCTGAGACAATGATACTACATGCTAGAAGACAAAGGGTCTGAGTCTAGCACCAGAGCTATGGGGATTAGTAGGACTGAGAGCTGATGAGATTGGGAGGGGAAATTAGGCAGCCTGAGATGAGACACCAATGGGCTTAGTCTGTCAAACTGTCAGTAATCCCTGTAGAGGACCAGGCTGAACCATAGCATACTGGGTTCTGGTAAGAACCAGGGAAACTAGTGAAAAATGGGAAGGTGATGAAAAATGCCCCCAGTGACTGCCAATGATTACCTGGAGGACTTTGGTGAGTCATCTAGCCATTCTGGGCCTTAGCTTATAAATAGCAGAGTATGAGTTAGAACCAAGGTCTCCATCCACTGAGGGCACTCACTCTTTTTACATTGAAAATGTTAAAATTCCCAAAGTCTACTGGCCTCAGAGCCATTGACATCATCATTGGCATCATCATTCCTCTCTGGATTCCCCCAGTTATTGGGGTCCTCCCTCTCCAGACTGACTCTGTATGTTCTGGGGACATGTGGTTACTGGGGACATGTTATCTCCCCATATTCCAAGGAGACTACAAGCCCTTTGAAGGGAGGGATTGTTTCCTTCTTGCCTTTGTATCCCTAGGGCCTGGCATATCTGCATTGAGGATGTATATGGTGGTGACCGCCCATTAGCAGGACCTGGGAGACAGCAGTCTCTACTTACCAGATCGAGGCACCGACGGCTGGTCTCTGCTTCCTGCTTCATCAGCTCTGCCATGTCAGCTTTCATCTCTTCCATTCTCCTCTGGTAATACTGGCAGGACTCCTTCTGCTCAGCCTCAGAGTTCACAGCCTTCTCCAGCTCCTCACCCATCTTGAGCGTACTGTCCCGAAGTCGAATCACCAGCACCTGAGAGGTAGAGCACCTGAATATTAGGGCCTAGAGGCCAGAACAGGAGAGGAGGGGGCTCTTAAGGAAGAGGGATCATTTATTTTTCTTAATCAAAATGAAAAAATTCTAAAGAAAGAAGAATTGGGGAAAAATCTAGATAATAATGGGCAGGAAAAAGGGAAGAGAAGGTAGGGGAAGGGGAAGAGGGGGCAGAGAAGAGAGAGGAGAAGGGTTATGGGGATGGAATTTGGCAGATACTGTCAGACTCAGGAGAAGCTGTTTAGTTTTATTAAATTACTTTTCTTTTTTAAAAAAAAGATGGCTTTCTGGGTAGGAGAGGGGGAGGGAGAGACTCAGAATGGAAAACAATGCAAAAACAAATAATATCCAAAAATAGATTACTTTTTTGTTGTGTCTTTTATTTCGAGGAGGAAAGCTTCCTCCAAGTTAGTACCTGACATCATGAAAGGGTGTGTGGATAGACAGGTAGATAGATAGATAGATGGATGGATGATGAATGGATAGATGGATGGATGGATGGATGATGAATGGATAGATAGATGGATGGATGGATGGATGGATGGATGGATGGATTTGTCATTCACTTGTTTCAGTCATGTCTTATTCTTTGGTTTTTTTTAAATTAATTTATTTTGATTTATCAACAATCACTTCCATATGCTTTTGAGTTTGAAATTTTTCTCCTCCTCCCTCCCCACCACCCTTCCCAAGATGGTGCACAATCTGATATAGGCTATACATATACATTCCTATTAAACATATTTCACATTAGTGAGGTTGTAAGCAAGAATTAGAAATAATAGGAGGAACCACCAAAAAGAGGAAATAAAATTCAACAGAAGAAAAAAATAGCAAATAGTATGCTTCAATTTGCATTCAAACTCCATAGTTCTTTCTTTGGATGTGGATGGCATTTTCTATCACGAGGTCTTTGGAGATGTCGTAGATCCTTGTATTGCTGGGAAGGGTTAAGTTACCAATATTAGTCATCTCACAAGGTGGCTGTTATTGTGTACAACATTCTCCTGGTTCTGCTCACTTCACTCAGCATCAGTCATACAAGTCTTGCCAGGTTCTTCTGAAGTCAGTCCGTTCATCATTTCTTATAGCACAATAGTATTCCATTACATTTATGTACCACAACTTGTTAAGCCATTCCCCAAATGATGGGCATCCTCTCAATTTCCAATTCTTTGCCACCACAAAAAGAGCTGCTATAAATATTTTTATACATGTGGGTTCTTTTCACATTTGTATGATCTCTTTGAGATATAGCCTTATAAGTGCTATTGCTGGGTCAAAGATTTTTATAGCCCTTTGGGCATAGTTCCAAATTGTTCTCCAAAATCGTTGGATCATTTCACAACTCCACCAACCATTAGTGTTCCGATTTTCCCATATCTTCTCCAACATTTATCATTTTCCTGTTTTCTCATGTTGGCCAATCTGATAGGTGTGATGTGGTACCTCAGAGTTGTTTTGATTTGCATTTCTCTAATCAATAACGATTTGGAGAATTTTTTTCATACGTCTGCAGATGGCTTTAATTTCTTCATCTAAGAACTTCTTGTTCATATCCTTTGATCATTTATCAATTGGGGAATGACTTGGTTTCTTATAAATTTCACTTAATTCTCTATATATTTTAGAAATGAGGCCCATATCAGAGAGACTGGTTGTAAAAATTCTTTCCCAGTTTTCTACTTTCCTTCTAATCTTGGTTGCATTGGCTTTGTTCGTGCAAAAACTTTTTAATTTAATGTAATCTTTTGTGATTTTTTTGTGATCCCATTTTGGGTTTTCTTGGCAGAAATACTGGAGTGGTTTGCCATTTCCTTTTCCAGATCATTTTACAGATGAGGAAACTGAGGCAAGCAGGGTGAAGTGATTTGCCCAGGGTCACAGAGCTAGTAAGTGTCTGAGGCCAGATTTGAACTCCAGGCCTGGCACTCTATCCACTGCACTACTTAGCTGCCCTGATGGATAGAAACAGACAAATAAATAGATGATAGGTAGATAGTTAGATGGATGCATAAATGAATGGATGACTAGAGAAGACAGATAGATTGTAGATTGCCATCCAAGAGTAACACAAGATAAACGGATGGATGAATAGGTAGATACAGAGATACATAAGATAGAGATAGGTAGGAATAGATAGGGAGACAGATAGATAGAAATGTAGGATTTATATATCATAGATTTAAAGCTAGAAGGGACCTTAGAGGATTCTAGAATATCCCTGATTTCTCATTGGTACATGTGTACAGATCTATCTCCCCACCTGTGAGAGTATAAGCTCCCTGAAAACAGGGTCTGTTATAGCTCTGTCTTCATCTCTACCACAGCACAGTGACTGGAACATCCTGTATCCCCCAGGTCCCCATCTCCCCATCCCTCAACCCCCATCTCCCCATCCCCCATCCCCCAAACCCCATCTCCCCATTCCCCATCCCCCACAGGGGAGGACCTGTGGTGCAGAGAGGTCCACACTTGGAATTTCCTCAGTGTAGGGAACACCCAGTACTGAACCCCTCTACACCAACACAGATTGGCAAGTCACCTTTACTTTCTATAAAGAGCTTCCTACAGGCTCAGGGCTTTGGCGAGAGGCAGACATCCAGGATGTGTCAGAAACTTAAAGCCATATATTCCTGGCTCCAAGACTGAGCTTCTATTCATAATGGTAAGCCCTTAATAAATGTTGGATTGAATTTAAATGAGATAAATTGCCAAACATAAAGTTCTTTCAAAAATTTTTTTAAAGTCCACAGGAAAAAAAATTGTATTAAATTCCACTGAATTCAACAAACATTTATTAAGCAATGGAGATACAAAGACAAAAAAAAAATAGTCCTGGCCTCATTCTAGTAGGTGGTGGGTAGATCCCCAGACTTCGCATGACCCTCCTCCGAGTCCTCCACGTTCCAGTCAATCAGAGCTTCTTGCTATTCCCACCTTCAAGCCTTTGCACAGAACGCTCACGAGGCTTGAAATGTTTGCCTCATCATCATCATCACCTAGAATCCGTAGCTTCCTTCAAAGCCCAGCTCTGGGGACACGTGCTGTTTTCTTCATTTCTCCCATTGTTAATGCTGATAGTCAAAATCACTTTATGTGTACTCTACATGAATGGATACACAGATATGTGTATATATTGTTTCTCCCAAAAAGTTGCTGTTTCTTTTAGTTTTCATACCCCCAGAGCCCAGCACAATGCCTAGAACATGGTAAGCACTGATCAAGGCCATTTAAATTACATTAAACATGTACACAGCAAAATAATGACAAGGATTTAAAGAGAGAGATGGGGGCAGCTAGGTGTGGCAGGGGATAGAGCTCTGGCCTTGGAGTCAGGAGGACCTGAGTTCAAATGCAGCCTCAGACACTTGATACTTACTAGCTGTGTGACCCTGGGCAAGTCACTTAACCCCAACTGCCTCACCAAAAAAAGTAAAAAAAAAATAAGAATAAAGAGAGAGAGACAATGAAAAACTGATGGGATGGAGGGTAAGGAGGGCTATACAAAAATATGGAAGGAGGAGATAAGATGTTTCACTCAAAGAACCTGGAATAGTCCGGCTGGATTAGAACGTAGGGGCTGGGAAGGGGAGCAATGGGGAACAGCGAGGGTGGCTGGTGCACTAGTCAGGATGAGAGGACATGAGCACCTGACCTGGGGAGTGACAATGGGAGCAGAGAGGAGGAGACCCAGGGGAGAGATGGAGTGGGGAGAGAATCAAGGAGACCAAGCAATGACTGGACTGTGTGGGGGCGGGGGAGAGGGAGGGACTGAGGGATGACTCATTCAGGGGTTATTGTGGAAAACTCAGTCAATCAACAAGCCTGGGACAAGCAGACCTGAGGTGTATAAACTTCCTGCACAAACATGAGAGCCCAAGGCTTTGGCCTGTGTGGGTAATTGCCACAAGACACCCACAAATAGAGCTAGAGAGAGGGTGAGAGGGCAAGTAGGGACCCCAAAGTAGGGGATACCATCTAGAGGGTCAAGAACACTCATAGAGCATGAGACCTGGGAGGGTCTTAGAACAGGAGATGTCAGTGTTGGGAGGGGCCTTAGAACAGGGGATGTCAGATCTGGGAGGGGCCTTAGAACAGACAAAGTCAGGACTGAGAGGGACTTTAGAACAGGGGATGTCAAAGCTGGGAGGGGCCTTAGAACAGAAAATTTCAGGGCGGGGGGGCCTTAGAACAGGGGATGTCAGAGCTGGGAGGGGGCTTACAACAGACAACATCAGGCCTGAGAGGGACTTTAGAACAGGGGATGTCAGATCTGGGAGAGGACTTAGAATAGTGAATGTCAGAAACAGAAGCAAATTTACAAAGAGAACATAATAAGTTAAATGTGGATAATCCTTTCCCCCTCTCCTGACTCATACATTTAAAGATGGACAAACTCCAGCCCCACAGAGAAGGGCTTTCCCCAGAGTCAGATTGCAATATGGGTCACGCCCACCTCATCCCAAGCTCTCCCTCCCCTGCTTTCCAGTCTTCCCTCATTGGAATGACAATAATCTCCTTATGGGTAGTTGATTCCCCTCATGTCTGTAACCCCACCATTTAGCATGGCTCCTGGTGCACAGTGAGTACGGCATGATGGTTTTACCACATTGTCTTCCTCCTCACTCCTCCTCCCTTGTTAACCACCACCAGCTTGGCTGATGCCAGGAATATGAAGCAATCACATTGCATTGCTGTGTGACCCTGGTCAAGTCACTTCCTTCTGCCCCTGCCCATTCATTGGACAAGAAGGTCTCCATGGTCCCTCTGGGGACTAAGACTCTACATTCTACCCTTTGTTGGGGTCTTTGGACAACAATCAGGCCTCACCTCAAATCTCTTAATCTGGACTTTGTGGAACTCCAGCTTGCTCTCCAGGTCACAGACCAACGCTTCCTGGCGGCAGACAATGTTGCGATCCACCGTCGTCTTCTCTAGGTGCTCGATGCGGGACTGAGCGATGTGCAGCTGGGACCGGGTAGGATATCAGAGCAAACCAGAGACCATCAGTGAGTTGGGAACTCCTAAGACATTCAGCTCAGAAATTCAGCAAGCATATGGGCACAGGGTCTGTCCCATCTGTTCCCATCTCTCATGACCAATTTCCCAATATTCCAGTTGGGTCTGACCAGGGGAAAGCAGAGCCTGACCATCACTCCACCACATGCAACACTTTAGCTTTTGGGATGGCTATCTATCCTACATGGCAGTGAATCCATTAAGACCCCCAATCATTTTCAGGCAAAATGTCAGTGAACCGGGTCTCCCCTAATTGGTAAAGTTGATTTTTTCAAGCCAACTTCAATATTTCACATTTTTCCCTATTCATGTCCATCTTAGATTTGGCTGTAGCTGTCAAGGGGTGTGTGTGTGTGTGTGTGGTGTTGTTGTTTTTTGAGGGGCCAGGGGCTGGGATGCAGCAATACTGTCATCTGACATTCTTGCTATCTCGCCCAGCTTTGTGTCGTCTACAAATTCAATGACAAGTCATGTAATATGTGATGATGTGTGGCCATGGATGTTTGTGCATGTGTGCATGTATGTGCACATGGACCAAACCCCAGCTGTTACATGTTTCATGCTATGGGTAGTCTGAAGGGCAGTTTTGGTACCAAAATATATTCTTGTCTGACTGATTCACTGCTTAAGGCAAAAATTTGGCCAGAGCAGATTTTCTGTCCTTTCAGCTGTGCTTTCTCAGAGGGGCCAGTGGAGGCTGAGACCTTTCTTGCCTCTCTCCTCCTATCCCAAGAGCAAACCCAGGGCCAGGGCCAGGGCCGGGGAAATTTACCTTTTCCTGGAGGCTTTGCTTCTCCTTCTTTGCTTCTTCCAGGTTCAGCTGCAGTTCCTGAATCTGCACAATGTCTTGGGAAGACTGGCAAGACCCAAAACTCCATTAGGGCTGGGAGTCTGGCTGCTAACCAGACTGCCTACCTTTCTCCCTTCCCATGCCATCCCATGAGCTTCACAGGTAGAGCTAGAACTTTGTGAGGGAAGTGCCATTATTATCCCCATCTTACAGATAAGGAGACTGAGGCACAGAGAAATGAAGTGACTTGTTCAGGACCACACAGCTAATAAGTATCAGTGGCCAGGCTCAGTGTTCTATCTACTGCACCACCTAGATGCCTCTGGTGGGGAGGGGACACACACAGGATATATCTTTATTTATTTGTAATCCTATGCATTTTAGGCATTTAAAAATATAATTCTGAGAAGGAGTCCATAGGCTTCATCAGACTGCCTGCCAAATGGGTCCATGACAGAAAAAAAAGGTGATGAGCTTCTAGTCTAGTTTAGTACCAAAGAGAGAGGTGAGACTCACAGAGATGTAATGGCTTGTTCAGGTCCTAATCAGTGACCAGGTCTCAGCCATCCCTCACTTTAGCACATGCTCCATAAAACCAAAGAATATACCAGAAACAGCCACCCGGAAGGAAAACACTCACAAACTAACTCAGAGAGGGTCATTCCAGTTGACTGTAAGCTCCATGGTGACAGACACAGTTCCATGTTTCATGTTTGTCTTTGTATCTACAGCACCTAGAGCAATGCCTTGCATGTAGTAAAAGCTTAATAAATGGTTGTTGAAATGAAGATGGAGAGAGAGAGAGAGAGAGAGAGAGAGAGAGAGAGAGAGAGAGAGAAAAGAAGAAGAAGAAGAAGAAGAAGAAGAAGAAGAAGAAGAAGAAGAAAAGAAGGAGGAGGAGGAGGAGGAGGAGGAGGAGGAGGAGGAGGAGGAGGAGGAGGAGGAGGAAAAGATAAGGAAAGAAAGAACACAGAACAGAGAGAAAGAAGACAGAAGGAGAGAGAGTGAGAAGAGAGAGAGAGAGAGAGAGAGAGAGAGAGAGAGAGAATAAGAAAAACCACAGAGAGAAATGAAACTGGATTTTGTGTAATCAAAAGATTAGATGATATGTAGCTAGGTGTTGTAGTGGATAGAGCATGGCACCTAGACTCAGGAAGACCTGAATTCAAATCTAGACACTAATACTTACTAGCTATATGACCCTGGCCATGTCACCTCACATCTGTCTACCCCAATTTCCTCACCTGTCAAATGGGAATACTAGTAGCACCTACTTCGAGGGGCTGTGGTCACAATCGACTAAGATCATATTTGTAAAGTGCCTAGTACAGTGCCTGGCACATGGTAGGTAATTAACCAACATTTAGTTCCTTCCTGCAAACATGGTGCATATTTGCATCCTTCAAGGTCATGGGCCCTGTGACTGTCTCTCATGGTACCTCCCCAAGATTGCCCAAATATCCGTCCACCACCCAGGGAGCCCTGACTTCTGGCTGAGCCTCCTTACCTGGGCGATGAGTTCTTTGTGTTTCTTCATTAGCTCGTTCAGATCCTCCTGGTCTTCATCAATATGCTTCAGGAGGTCAGCTCTCTCCAGCTGCAGCCGATACAGCTGCTCATCAACCTGGTATGAAGAAGGTGGAGCACTCTTGAAATTATAGGGAAAGTGAGGCTTGGGGTGGGGGAAGCCAGAGGAGGCAAGGTCAGGGAGCACCCCAGTCATCGGGGAGCTCCCTTTTGTCAGTATGTAGTTTCCTCCCCTTTTTAATAAGGAAGTGGGAAGCAAAATTCAATGTTGAGAAATCACAGTGGCCAAGCTGAAAGGGCCCCCACCAAAAAGAAGATGCATGAGAATACACCTGCTCTCCTTCTTTGGAAGGTAGTAGCCTGTAGGTTTGGAGCTGTGCATACAGCGTGAGATTTGCTTGATCTGTTGGTTAGTTTTGCTGAACTGGGTTTTTTCCCCCTCTTTTTTATGCTTTCTCATAAGGGATCAATGCCTGAGGTAGAGGTAAAAACCAAGTGATTCGCAGCATCCTCCACCTCCTTTCCTGTCTCTGCCACATTCAGCACCAGGTGTTTACCTGTGTTTCCTGCTTGGACATGGCCAAAGCATCCCTCACCAAGTGGACTGCCCACTGGTGATTAAGTGTCTCTCCACTTAGTCAGCAGACATTACTGTTGCCAGGACCTTCCAGAGTTTGGGCTCTGGAGATCCTGACAGGGTCCCCACCATACCACAATGTGCCACAGTAAGGAGGAAAGGCTAGGGATAGGGACGGCACCTGGGATTTCCTTCTATGTGAGGAAGCTCCCTCCACCAATGCAGGTCCACACCTTCTCTGTCCTGCTTTCATCTTGGTCCTAGAGCCCTGCCAAGAAAGGCTAAGTGCTTGCCCCATCATTTCCAGGCTGCATCAGAAGCAAGATTTGAACCCAGGTCTTCTTGGCTCCAAGGCCATCTCATTCTATTCACTACTTACTCCATAGAGGTCAGAGAAGGACTGACAAAATGTCTATGCAATGACATCCTCAGGATCCTCTTCCTCATTGTACAGCATCTTTTACTGACACTTATAACCTTAGGGCTGGAAGGGGCCATGCCACTGGGCAATGAGCTGTTTCCAAGGCTGACTCACTCAAGAGTCCCTTGTACAGCGTGTGAATGAGTGCAGATGCTGGGGAGCTGGGGTGGGGGTGGAGGGTAAATACCAGATTCTTGTTCCTGGTAATGTTCTCCAGCTCATTATGCATGTTCTCCAGGTCCTGGGCCAGCAGCTTCTGAGTGTTCTGAGCATCTGCACACTTGGCCTCGCTTTCTTCTAGCTGTACCAGGAAAGCAGGAGGAAGAGAGAAAGGAAGGGAGGGAGGGAGGGAGAGACAATGTGGGGGCATGAGGTGGGGAAGGGAAGACAAGAGACCACTGTGAGATCCAACCTCCTCCAGTTTCCAAAGCTGCCTCCTCAAATTAACTCCCTCCCATCCCCAGCCTGCCCTTCGCCAGCAACATTATTTATGGTGAACTCTTGAGTGTTTTCACCTATTAAATTACATTGTAGTGCAATTGAAAAAAAATTATTTTGCCCTCACGGCAGTTAGTTTCTATTTTACAGTCAAAACGGCTCTCGATTTAATGGTTACCGCACCATGAAATAAAGCTGCAAATGAGGCTGGGAAGGCTCTTGAATGAAGGCCTTGATCCAGTGACTGTCCTCGCTCACTTTGAAATGGGAGCCCTTAAAACAAATCATCGGTTCCCTGAGCACGAGGCCAGCACCGTCCTCCCTCTCCCCAAGGGTTGGGCTCTGCTCCTGCTGTCTGCCTAGAAAGTCAGACTGGGAAGGAAGGAATCCTCAAAAATAGAGAAAAAGAAAGAAAGGACATTGGGCTGGGGTTTGAGTGTAACCTGCCTATGGACGTTCTTTAGAGTCACTTCAATCAACAAGCATTTATTTATTAAATACCTACTCTGTGCTGGGTTCTGCTCTAGGCAGTGGGGACAAAAATACAATGAGTGAAACAATCCCTATGCTCAAGAAGTTTACAAGGATATATTTAAGGGCATCAAAATAAAGACCAATAGAGTAATTTAGTACAAAAGAGTTGAGGGGATCAGGAAAAGCTTCACTTAGCAAGAGATGCTTGAATCCACTTCACATATGGAGCACTAGATTCATTTTGTGATGCTTCCTTTACTGAGGGATTACATTGGGTCATACATTTAAGGTTGAAGAAGCCCTGAAGGCCATCTAGTCCAATCACCTTTATGTGACTGAAAGGCTGGAAGAAAAAGAGGATAATTTACTAGTCTAATGTCACACATGTGGGGGAAATGGCAAAGTTGGGATTTAGGCTCCTAGGTCCACAAGTGGAAGGGACATTGGAAGCCACTGAGTTCAACCCCTTCCTTTGGCCAATGAGGAAACTGAGACCCAGAGACTGAGTAACCTGACTTGGGGCACACTGGTAGTGTGCACTCTTTCCACCATGACACATTGACAGATTAGAACTGGTCCAAAGGAGAGGATTGAGAGGATACAGGAGGCCTTGACATAGGAGGATCTGTTGAAGGAATTGGAGACATTTGGGAAGGAAAAGTGAAGCCTTGGGAAGGAGGCAGCAGCACAATAGCCATCTCCAAGTATGGCAGACAATAGAAGGCAGGATTTGGAGTAAGAAAGACCTGGACTTGGGTTGTGTGATGAGGGACCCATCTAGGCTTCAGTTTACTCATTTGCAAAAAAAAAAAAAGTGGATAAAATACGAATAATATCTGACATTTCTATATCTCTTTAATGTAGGCAAAATGCTATGTCTATATATATGTATGTACATGCATACACATATACACATATGCATATGTGCATATTGTGTCATTTGACCTTCACAACAACTCTGTGAAATAGGGGTTGATATCAACCCTATTTCTACAAATAAGGAAATTGAAGCTAGGAATCCTAGAACTACAGAATTTGAGTTGAAAGAGGCTCAAGTGGCCACATAGTTCAACTCAGCAATTAGCACATTTTTGTTGTTCAGTCATTTTCAACCATGTCCAACTCTTTGTGATCCCATTTGGAGTTTCCTTGGCAAAGATACTGGAATGTTTTCCATTTCTTTCTCCAGCTCATTTTACAAATGAAGAAACAAAGACAAACAGGGTTAAGTGACTTCCCAGGGTCACACAACTGGAAAGTGTCTGATGCTAGATTTGAACTCAGGAAGATGAGTCTTCCTGACTCCAGGTCCAGTGCTCTATCCACTGTACCCCCTCATTCCAGTCCTTCTTCCCTCTTTCCACCTCCTGACTGCGGGCTACAGAAATTTACTCTGGTTGTGATAGATAGCTAGGCAACCACAGCCCCTCAGAAGGAAAAGCCTGTCAGGCCACAACCCCATAGCACTAAAGCTGCAAAGCTGCAAACTGCTGGTGCTGGAGTCAACAACCCTGCAACACTAGCAGAGCCAGAGCCAAGGCAGACAAACCTATAGCAACAGTACTGCAAAAGTTATGACTTGCTGGTGCCAGCCCAAAGAACTAAGGAACAGAGAGAAAGTGAGAAAGGCTGTCCAACACTCTACCAAGCCTGAGGGAAAGGGCAAAATACACAGCTGGGGCCAGTTCTGACCACTCAAAAGTCAGTTGGGGCAGAGATCTAGGCTGGTGAAACAATGAGTTGCTCAGTGTAAAAGGAGACTGAGATACTTTGAGATTCAGCCTCCAAGGCAGTGAAAGAATTACGTGAACTGATGCAGGGTAAAGTGAACAGAACCAGAAGAACGTTGTACACAGTGACAGCAATTAACAGTACCAGTTCAATGAAGAATTGTGAATGACTTAGCAATGCTCAGCAATACAATGATCCAAGACAATTCCAAAGGACTAATGATGGAGCATGTTATCCGCCTCCAGAGAAAAAACTGATATTGATTGAATACAGACTGAAGCAGGCTATTTTTCACTTTCTTTCTTTCATTTTTTTCTTTTGAGTCTTCTTTTACAAAATGACTAATATGGAAGTGTTTCACATAATTGCACATGTATAACCTATATCTAATTGCTTTCCCTCTGGGGGGATGGAGGGATAGAATTTGGAACTCAAAACTTTCAAAATAACATGTTTTTAAACATTGGGGGAAAAAGGAAATAACCAGTGGAGATAGTGTCAGAAAGTGAATAGGAAAAAATAAGCAGGTGGGGTGGGGAGAGACTGAAATTACTAGAGATCTCAAGAAGAAAACCCAAAGACCCTGAAAATAAGCAGATAAATCAGAAGGGAAAATATTAACAACAAAAGGCAATATGGCATGCAGACTTAGTAAGCGAGTTTAGACATCTATGAATAAACACTGCCAAACAAAGGAAAATTACCCGAACTTGATGAGAATGAGGAACCTGTGGAATTTCAGGAGAACATGGAACTACAACACATTGTCCCTGTGTGGTTCAACAGAGAAATAAGAATTGTAAAAGCAGAATAAAAAATAAGCACAGAACAGAAAAAAAAATACATCTATAGTGACAAGCTATACCAAAGAAACAAAAGAGAACAATAGACATGGGATGAAAATATACAGAAATGAAGGATAATCTAGAAGAAGAGAAGCAAAAAAAATCAAATAATATATGCTTCTTATGGAAGTAGAGCATATATATCTCTAAGACAAGATGCATAGACAACCTATGGATCATAGATCTCCTGGAAGACCACAAGAAGACAAAAAACTTTAATACCACAATGAAGGAAACGATAGTAGAGAACTACCCAGAATTTCTGAACATAGAAAATGAAATTCCTGATTGGAAATCCACAGATCATCCCCAGAAAAAAAGAAAAAAGAAAAAAAAAAGACCAAGGCTGCAAACTCTAAGCCACATAGTGGTTAAATTTAGCAATTCAACTTAGAAACAAGTTCTGCAAGCTATCAGGAGAAAGACCTTCAAATACAAAGGAAAGGACATTCAAATAATGCAAGCCTATTCTGAACCCACTAGAAAAGGGAGGAGGGAATGGAATAATGTGTTCTGAAGAGCACTGGAGCTCAGGATGCAGCCCAGGGTGACCTATCCTGCAAATCTGAACTTAGCCATGCAGGACAAAAGATGGACGTGCAACAACAAAGAGTCTGAAACATTTTTAGAAAGAAACCAGAATTGAAGAGATTATTTGCTTTTCAAACAGAAATGCAGGAGGAGTGAATAAGGGCAGCAGGCAAGGACAGCAACAGGAACATAGTGACAATAGACAGATCAATAAGAGACTTCTTTCTAAATGTACACAAGGAGATGGGGTGAAGGCAGAAATGTGGTAGGAGTAATTGGACAAGGGGCATTCAGGACAGAACTTGGTGATGCAGGTAAATCACCACTTTTTTGTGTGTCGGAAGATACAGTAAGGGAGAGAGGAAAGCAGCAGGACAGAGCAGCCTGGGGTGTGTCAGGCTCAAATTGAGGGCTAGGAATGAGGGGAAGGTGATCCCTGTGGTCTTAGGAAGAGAAGATCCTGCAGATAAATGGGTGAGGAGGAGTGGGGGAAGGATCAAAAGGACAGGGTAAGGAAAGAAGCCTTCCTTTGATGGTAGGAGGGGGGTTCCATTGATGAAGCTGCTGTGGCTGAAAAGAAATGATCTGTGAAGGGTGATGGGAACCTTTCAGTGGGAGGAAGATTTGGTACTTGAAAAGTCAATTCCCCCTACATTGAGAGAAAGGAGTTGATTTGCTCAGGGTCACACAACTGATATATATCTGAGGTGGGATTTGAATCCAGGTCTCCCTAACTTCAGTTCCAGCATTTTGACCCCTAAGCCAGGCTGCCTCACAGGACTACTGTAAAGCTCTGCTGAAACTACACATTGTAAGGTTTCCACTTGCAAATGAACCTCCATGGCTGTTTCTACTGGGGGGTCTGTCTCATGGAAGAGGGATTAACTTTATTCTGCTTGGCCCCAAAGGGTAGAAGTTATAGAAGGCAAATTTCATCTCCAAGTCGGGAAATCTTCCTAACAATCCAAGCTGCCCCAATGTGAAATGGTCTGCCCTGAGGGAGCGGGGATAGTAAGGTCCCTCTCACTGCAGGGCAACCCCTTGTTAGAGGTGTTGAAGAAGGGGTTCTTTTGAGACCCAGGCAGGACTAGAGGGCTTCCAATGACCTTTCCAGTACTGAAGTGGAGAGACTTTGGACAAGTGACAATCTCCGTGGATTTCAGTTTCCTATTTAAAAGGAAGAGATTGACTAGATTGCCTCAAATGGTCTCTTTTAGCTTGAAGCTATGACCTATGATCTTTTGAACTCCTTATTCCCCTCTCTGTGCCTCAGTTTCCCCAT